ATGTTTTTGTCTACAAAGAGAAATTAAAAATTAGGATAATTATTTTAACAGTCACACGAACTTTGTCACCTATAATATTCATTTCACTGAAGCAAGCGTAGTCTTGAATTCTTCATTTCACTCGTATGTAAGGTAGCCAAGTTAACCAAAAAATACAGGTTGCCCTTACAATATTTTGGGACAGACTTACATGAAAACATTATTTGCTATTTAATACTCAAACTAAAACATTATTTGCTAGTATTCAGATTTAATTGCTCTCTTGTATTTTATCTGACAGTCCTACTTGAATGTGTATGTTCAATAAAATGAGACTGTTTCCAAACTGAAGGTTGAGACACTGGTTTTGCAGGGATAAAGGAAGATGAGCTGAAAAAAAAAACGTTCCCATGCCACTTTCTGAGTACCTGTTTTGTGCTTAGGAAACATAAGTGATAGGATGTGAAGATAATAATCTAGAACAAGGTGGTATCAAAAAAGGAAGTGGGAGGAGAGAGAGGCAGGTCCACCGGGGAGACTAAACAGAGAATACCCAGAGAGGAAGAGGCTTCTGGGAGAGAGGACTGGAGAAGTAGGATGACCAGAGGGAAAAGGGAAATGGGGCGGGGTAGAATTTTAAACCCCTTGATGGCTTTCACATATTGATCTTCCCTCTGTATTGCAGACCTTGGAATTTCATACTGAGCTAACTGAAGCGAGTTCTCCAAGAGGAAGTGCAGTTCCTTCCTGCAAAGAGCTCCGGGCTCCCCCCGGTGGCTATTACGGGTATCGCTCCCCCAGACCCTGCCTCGTTTATCCCCTAGTTTTCCCATCTCCCGCTTTTAGAACTCGGCCTTCCTCGAACTTAGCTTTCTCGGCTTTTTCTGACGGTTTATTCATGCGGAGTCTGCTTTCGGCATGACGCCTACCAACGGCTCTGGCCCCCAGCACAGGCCACACAGAGCTGGTCATTGTTGCCCCAGTTCTGGGACCACCCGGCTGGGAGAAGGGGCAGCGCGCCGCCGCGGAGGCCGGATGACTGACAGCGGCCTCAGGGCAAGTGCCCCGCGGGCCACCCGGAAGGAGCGCGCGTGCCCCCTCCATGTGCCCCGTTGCCCCTTCCAGCGCGAAATGAGCCCTTCCTTCAGACCCACGCAATTAACAGCAGTAAAATCTCTATTTTCAACACGCTGTATATGAATAAGGATTTACCAAAGAAAAAAAAGAAACAGATGGAATTTTACTGGGAAAGTGAGATTTTTCAGCCTAGGAGAGAAAAATCTTGCTTGGAGTCGGGCAGTGGTGCTGAAGGGATAAATATGGGAAGCACGAATAGACTCTCAACTTGTCACAGTGCTGGATTGTAAGAAAATTTGTTAGGAGTGTGTTTACTCATCAAAAACATTAAAAAAAAAAAAAACTTGTGAATCTGAAAAATTTCCAAATTCCGTTTGTGAACAGATCTATCAACCGCCACATAGAGGATCTATGCCAGCTTCCCCATCATCACCTTAGTCACACACCGACAGGGCTGCCATGTCCCTCAACTCTAATGGCATCTCCAGATCTTCCACAGACCGATGACCAGCTTCTCAGGCGTGGCTGTGGAGGTTGGGGCGGAGGCAAAATCCAGCTTCGACTGTGACGGGAAGGAAACTGGTGACTGCAGGAAGAAGCACTTCCTAGGGGGGAATTTTTTGTGGCACTTTCCTGATTGCTTCTGTATCCAGAAAGTCCCATAGATGCGGATTCCCTTAGGATGGCCAGAGCTGGTTTGATTCCCCCAGGCTGTGGGCATTTCCCCACCCAAATATCATAGATGCCTTGTAAAAGGACTGGTCAAACAGTGATCTGTAAATGTTTTGGTCATAAGATCCTTTACAGAAATTGATGGAAATTAAAGATTGCTCCCATGCAGAAAGGCAAATGCCCAGAACTTTCCCTACAATTTCAAGGGCTGTATGAGTTGACTGAAGTCTTCACATGGGTGAACTAGGGCAGTGGTCCCTAACCTCTCAGGTACCAGGGATAGGTTTCATGGAAAACAACTTTTCCACCGGTAGGATGGTGGTGGTGGGGATGGTTTGGGATGATTTAAGTGCTTTACATTTACTGTGCACTTTATGTCTAATCTAATGCCGCTGCTGACCTGACAGAAGATACTGTTACTGTGGCCCAGAGGTTGGGGACCCCTGATCTAGGGGTTTTGTGGACCATACTTAAGAGCCCCTCCTCTAGGTGGCTGCCACCTGCTGGTAGAGGGTTAGATTAAAAGGTCTCCAGACAAAACTTTAATCTGGGCATTCCACGGTACTGCCTCTCAGTTCTTTATTAAAAAGCATGACAGAAAAAAAAAAGTGGTTACTCATAATTCATACTTTATGAATAGAATGGTTCACTGGCACACTGGCTGTTTCTGAAATATCCCTTGAGATCTTATTCAGCTCTTTTCACAAATGGCAGCAGTCATCACATAGATAAATCTACCTAATTTGAAGGTCAGACAGGAAATTACTTTTTTTTTGGAAGAACCACTGGTGGCATTACACTTTTCTAATTAATCCCAACATGGAAATGATTCACTCTATTGGAGAAATCTGAATCTGAAATGAACAAGTAAATGCAGGCTGTTAAGGCAAAATGCTTCCCTCACCTCCTCCTGTTTCCAGCTTCGGTTTTAGGAGTTGGGCAGGGAGAGTATGTCCTTTCTGATTTTCTTGTGTTTGGGTTCCCTAGCTGGACCTTCCAAGATTTTACCTAGTAAAATCTAAAAAGGGAAAAAAATAACAAACAAACCAAAAAACTGCAAGGCATCCTTCCCAGCATTATCCTGACCTCACTGAAATACTTCCTTGAATGAAAAGTTTATTTTCCTTCAGGGAGAAGAATAATAACAACATGCAAAGATATCATGTAAAACTAATTTTTTTTCTTTATTGAAAATACATCTACAAAGTAACGCTTCTCAGTCCACACTGGGTACATGTGATATGCAGAGCCTGTGATGGGCTGGCGAGAGGGTCATCTCAGAGGATCTGCTTTCCATAAGAGATGGTTAGTATTAAAAAAGATCACACTGTGTAACAGAGTTAATCTGACATGATTAATTTTTGCTCTACTGGTGTCATGACAGCCATGGATAATACATTAAGTTTTGTAGTGTATTTCCCAAATAGAGCCTTGACATTAAACGGTTATTCCACCACAGCCTAACGTTAACTTTTGTACACACGTAATGCTTGTGATCTATATAAAAATATCTCTAATTGTGTATCAGAGGATGTATGTCTAGATTTTCAATCTGTTAGCATAATTAAGTCCATTCTTCACCATTTTCAGTCAGAAACTCAAACACAGTTGGTATTGTCTGACAGCTCCCACTTCACATCTTTGACTGCATTTTCCTTAGAGGGTAAAAAAAAACATTAATTTCCTCTAAACCTGGTAGCTGCCTTGCCTGAAACTAATGCCCCAATGTTTTTTTTTTTTCTTGGAACCACGCTGACATGGCTTCATACCGATTCATCTTCTACCATTTCTCTCATGGACACAAACACAATCAAATCAAACACCACTCCAGCTTAAGATTTTGAATGATTTTGTGAGTGGTGTTCCAACACAAAGAAATATCTTGTTTCACTCATTCTAAGAACTTTTGAGGAGAGTCAAAAACCTTTTCAAATAAGAGACCACCCACCTGACTCTGGGACCTCTAGTAGAGACAGAGCTCATTCATTTGACTTGTTTAAAATAATATAAGAAGTGACCTTATATTTTAATCTGCAGACTTCCTTAGGGAATGATTTTTGAACTGAAGAGAAAAAGTGTTTCAGGTTTAAAAAAAAAAAAACCTCTTCCTTAAAGATGACTTATGATCTTGGTGTTTTAAAATCCTCTGTTTATAATGTCAACCATGCTCCATCCTTTCCTGGCTGGCTCTTTAGTGTTCCAAAGTAAGACGGGTAAGCACCCTGCTAATTGATAGTCTTACTTTTTATCTTCTAAAAGTCTATTGTCAGTTGAGGAGTGGTGGGAGACATCCTTCCCAGAAGAGTCCCTTAAGTTTGGTAAGAAAGAAGGGAATACGTCCCCTCTTGGGCAGAACTAAGCAGAGTTTCATGCACAATTCCACTCCTGGAATGCCTCCAGTCTGGTGACGTGTAACTGACATTTTGGACATAGGACCTGTAAACCACACAGCCACCCCCACCCCCACTATTTAGAAACGTTCACTCGCAATAAATGTCTGCTTTGAAAGTCCCATGCCCCATGGAATGATCCATGCTACAGAACATTCTGAGGGGAATTGGAGGACATGCTCTTTCGTGGTGCCACCAGATGTTTGGACTGGAATCAATCATAAAGGCATCTAAGGAACTTGTTCATTTCATAGATGGGAACACTGAGGCCTAGAGATAAGACTTCATAACTTCCCCATGGCCACATGGAAATTTCTCTTTACATGCCTCCTTACAGCTGTGCTAGGTGTGCATTAATGTTGTCCTGCTACTAATAAAATAAGGACACAAATCATAGGAGGAAGTGGGGGGGGGGGAACCCTCTTAATATCCAACTAATAACCCATCGCTGATCAATTTGTTTTGTTTTGATCCTAAAACTCAATTGTATTCTGAATGATTTTTCCATTCTGAAAGTTGATTTAAAACCATTTTAGCCTAGTATTTGTTTTGAGTCTTTAAATTATAAGATCTATCACATTTACAGGATTGTGTGCCACAGAAACTTGTAAGATCTGATCAGGACTATTTTTGACCTCAGTACCTTATTAGATAAGACTAACACGAAATGACTTAAAAATTTCAAGGCTGGGATGAAAACTATACATTTTGGCCACTGCAAAATCCTCCCTTGATTTTGGATGAATACTTCCCAATCCTGTCAGGGCAGGGAGGAGAAGGGAGGTAAGGGGCTTCTGGCGAGAATGAGTTGTAATGAGATGGAGACATTGTATAATGGTTTTCAAACACCTGGTGCTCAAGGAAGCATTTCTTTGTGTTAGTCTACATCTTGGTCTCACTGTCCATGGATTTTTCAATTTCGCTTTCCTGGGAAATCAGCTGATATGGTTTCTTCATTTCATTCTCTTCAATCACTGAGTTACCCATTTCGACATCCCGGTTCTTCAGTTCATGTCGCGACAAGTGTTCAACAATGCCGGCTCCCAGGGAGTCTCCCAACACGTTGGTGGTGGTGCGAAGGCGGTCCCTGGGGAAGAGCAGGGAGGCGTGAAAAACGAGGCTCCAGTAAACATCGTGAGATTTCAGCTCATGTTCTAACTAGCCAGCTAAGTCATTGGGGGCATCTCTTAAGTTCTGCTTCCCTGTCTCCTTCTATTTAAAATTAATCTTTGGTTCTCTTTCCTTCCTTTTACCAGAAGGTCTCAAATTGGACTCTAGAGACCCCTGGAGGTCCCTGAGGCAAAATCAATTTTCATAATAATGCCAAGATATTATTTGCCCCTTTCCATCTCACCTTCTCATGAATGTCTATCTAGTGGAGTTTCTAGAATACTACAACATAACACAAAAGTTAACAAAAGAGATTGAAGGCAGAAGCAGTTAGTCTTGTATTAAGCTAGATATTAAGGAGATCTGAAAAGATGTAAAATGATGTCATTCTTTCCCCTAAGTTTTTGGTTTGGAAGGTGGTATTTTTTCAGAAAAACGTTATATATGTTAACATGTAATGAATTTGTTATTGTAATCTTTAAATGTATTCAACATTTTAAAAATGCCCAAGTTTTCTAACATGATGAATATTGATAGATATGACCCATACAGATTAAAAGAGCTTTGGGAGTCCTCAATTTTTTAAATGTAAAGGGGTTATAAGACTAAAACCTTTGAGAAACATGGGTTTACGCTATAAAAGTCTTCACATGAGTCGAGTAGGACTGTGGGGCAGATAGTGGGCCGAATGCTTCCTATGTACCACTGCATTTAATCTTCATAGCACCACTGGGAGGTAGAAGACATTACTGTCTTTATTTTACAGAGGAAACTAGGGTGGCTGGGTAACTCCCCAGGATCACACAGGGGCAGGACACAGGCCCAGATCCAAGTGACTGTGGATCTCAAGCTTCAGTTAACTACCACCCCCCCACCCCCACCTTATAGTGCCTTGAGCACTCTGAGCTTTTCGCGGTCATTAGATCTAGCTCACAGCCTCTATGCAGACTCTAGCACCTACTGCGCCCTTCTAGGCTTTCAACCTGGGCATCCTGGGGAGAAATTATGTAAGTGGAAGGGAAAGAAGAGGAGCGGAACGTGTCAGTCGAAAGGGTGAGGGGAAAAGGGCAGAGGGATAGGCCCTAGAGGTTAGGGTCTAGGGTACTGTTCTTGGAATTTTCCCCAGAGCCAAAAATTGATTCCACTTAATGACGCCAGCTCTCTTCCCACTGTCTTCAGGGCCGCCCCGCTCCCTGTGGGGATCGGATGGGAACATCCGCTCGGTATTACGCCATTGGAATGGGAAGCACAAGGAGAAAGTCTGAGCCAGCCTGGGAGGCCCACACTTCTGTCCCGGCTGCCAGGGGGACATGTTGTGCAATTCAGAACTGACTTTGCTGATTTATGTTGACTTTGCAGACAGTGGGTTTCCCAATCCCCAAATGGCTTTATGGAGTGAGAAGTGTTAACAGCCAGATGTGCCCTGTGGGCTGATAAGGGGGTGAGTGTGCATAGAGTCTGGGACTCAGGCTCCAGATAGCCGCCGGGATCAGGCAGGGAGCACAATTTAATTACAGGCCAAGCTGCCCCTCTTCCTGGAGCCCTTTGGCAGGGGTGCCAGGCCGCCTGGTGTCCTAAGATGACAGAGGGGCCCCCATGACAACAAGCCGGATGATGCAGTCCGAGTGTACTCACAGGAACCAGTCCACTGCGATGATGAGTGTGATGTCGTCGGTGGGCAGGCCCACAGATGTCAGCACGATGACCATGGTGACCAGGCCTGCCTGAGGAATCCCAGCTGCCCCAATACTGGCGGCCGTGGCTGTGATGCTGTTAGAGGAAGTCCCCAAACAGAAAACCTTTGTTTAAATCTCTCCAAATAGAGAGCAGACCCTATAAAACATGCACAGTGGTGGTGTCTGATTTGCCAAGTTAACATGAGAGGACACACTTCAGAAAAATGTAAATGAGATTGTTAAAAAACCCACTGAGTTAATAAGCATATTAACTAATACTTATCAAATGCCTATTATGTGCCTCCTGATATGTGAAGCATGGCTTACCTCATTTGCTTCTTGCAACAACCCTTCGGGAGTTGGTCCTACTATTACAGCCTGTTCTAAATACAGAAACTTGTACCTAGATATTGAGTTGGCCAAAAAGTTCTTTTGGCCTTTCCCCTACGATGTTATAGAATACTTCCTCATGTACCTGAAAGTATTTTTTAAGGTCTAAAATACTGTACAGTTATAATAATAATTTATTTCTAATAATTCCTGTATTCAAGCAGAGGACTGTAAGGGATACTGAACTTGTATGGCCACTGTGGTCAGAAAAAAAAAATCAAATTTATGAATCCAAAAGCAAAATGATTTATGAACAAAGTTCTGTAGCACTATCAATATTTTTTACAGAGGCAATGTGAATTTCATTTGTAAGGCACATAACTCATCTGGAACTCAGTTTGTTTAATATCTATTTGATAGGCTTATGTGATAATGTGAAAATGTTTTATGAGTAGATATGAAGTGGTATTCATAAAGTAATAAGTCTGTGGAAGAGACTGTTCATGGTTCCCTCACATCGTCCCCCTTGTATAGTACCAAGTGTTCTACAGAGTAAGGGACCAGAGCTTGTGGCTGTGTCATTCCTGGGTGTTAACCTCATCCAGGTGGCCCTGATCACTAGCTCATCATTTAAAGGAATTCTTAAGAAAATGTCATGTAGAATATTCCTTGTACCTGATTGTAATAATCTGTCCAAAGTTCAGTTCAAAGTTGTTAACTTGAGCAATGAAAATGGCAGCCAAAGCCTCATAGAGGGCGGTCCCATCCATGTTGATGGTGGCCCCTACTGGGAGCACGAATCTGGTAACGCGTTTGTCCACGCCATTGTTCTCTTCCAGGCACTTGAAGGTGATGGGTAGGGTGGCGGAGCTGAGTACAGTAAAACAGGACATGTCAGTTGACCATCCTGACAATGTGAAGCATGGCTTACCTCATTTGCTTCTTGCAACAATCCTTAGGGAGTTGGTCCTACTACTGTGCCTGTCTGTTTTAGTACTTTGGACAGAGAGTTCCTTCCTCTCCCATATTCTAATTAAAGGGAACTAAGTCAGCACTATTATAAATAGGGGAGCAGGATTAGGAACAGTGGGTCCCCTCACTGCATCATTTGACAGCTCTCCTGCTTCTAGGTTCCTCCATGAGGCATCGCTTGTGATTACTCCCCAACCACCGCAAGAAGAGCCTGTGCTGACGCTCTGGCATCTCAGGTAAATGGCGACTGGACAAGGGAGATGAGAGTGGGCAGGAAAGGACAGTTGATTTCTAGTTTTCCCCTACAAGTGTGTATAGCCAGCCACTCCCTAAATCCCAAATCAGTCTGATTAGCACCAGAGTCAAAAAGCCAATGCATGTGTCTGGATGTTTAAAACATGGAAAAAATGCTCCCTGTCACTCCAATCTGAAGGTTCTGGTTCAAAGTAAGGTTTGAAATATATTTTCTGATAGGAATAAGCCATGGATATATCTATACCTGGAGGAAGTTCCCAGAGCCGTGATGAGTGCTTGCAGCAACCCTCCGATGAAGATCCAGGGGTTTTTTCGCGTTACCAGGAAGTAGAGGAGGGGTAGGACAATGACGGCATGGATGAGCAAGCCCACGATGACTGTCACTGTGTACATGGCCAGCTGTCCCCCAATCACCCCCATGTCTTCCATCTCAACAATTTTCCCTGCAATCAGGAAGAGTATGCCCAGAGGGGCGTACCTATGTAGAAGCAACACATGCACAGTTGGAAGTCTGATTTCCAACAAACTGTTTCACAGAAATTACCAAGTGATAAGAAAAAGTCAATGAGAGTTGATTTCCCAACTTTTCTGCCCAGGATACTATGAGGGCTTGCAGAAATTATGAACTTTTTTCTTTCCTTTTTTAAAATATAAATTTAAATATAAATAGTACTTTAGGCTTTCCTTTCACTCAGAATTTCTTTAGGTCACAATTGTTTTTTTTTTCCCTCCAAAACCAAGAAAAATGGTAGGTTCAGAGGTTTTGTTACTTACCTCTTTTTTCCCCTAAATACCTCGGTCACTTTGGGGGTGCTCAGATGCCATCCACTCTCTGAGCCCTCCCCACCACCTCCTACTAAATACCCTGAACAGTCAGAATCCACTGAACCAATTTCCAGACATCTGGGTGGGGCAGGGGGGCAGCATTTCCCACATCAGAGACTGATTTCCAAGCTAAAGCAAGATGTATAGCATGCCATTTCAGTGTTTTAGATTTGCAGTCAACTCTCTTTATCAAGGACCACTTTTATTGGTTTTTCCTATATTACAACCTTGTTACAATATTACATACTTTGTATTAATTTTTTTACTTAAATAAATGTACTATAAGAGGAAATTATATGTTACAGTGCAAATGAAAAACTAACACCATTTGCGATGAGTAGAAGGCAATCATAAAATAAATTCACAGCTATCAAAGCTAATAACATGCATGTATGTACTTCCGCAATCAGGTTATAAGTGCTCTACTTAAGCAATTATTATCCACAGGCTGCTACTGCTATTTGCATTCCTTCTTCTAGATCTTGCTCTACATCTGAGCAAGAATTAACATCGGAGACATGAAATGGATTGTATACATTGAATCAAGGCTGTGCTGCCTGGCTTTCAGCTCTCTTTGTCCGAAGTATGCTGTAAACTACAACCCAACTCCCATTACCATAAACAGAGAAGTCGATCACCCTTCAGGAGAAGGGTCTGTTGGGAACTGTGGAGGACTTCTTTCATATTGAAAAATACAATGGTTCTTTTAAAAGCCCTTTAAAAACACAGGCCAGGAAAGTATAAGAGTACCTGTTTTCAGAAAAGTAATAACTCAATGTTGAACGTGCAGGCGAAACGCACAGCTAGAAAAGCTACATGTGAGATTCATTCAGCAGCCTTGAATAGACTTCTTTCATAAAAGAGGTGAAAGGTAGAGGCGTTTTAATAATATGAAGATAAATGTCCACTTTCAGTCCTGCCAAGGTTTCCAAAGAGGGCCCCCAGCATTTCAACAGGGACGCCTGTGGAGACCGCACTCTGATCATCTTTGTGTTTCCGACTTCATATCCATCTTGTACAAACTGCTGAAAAATGGATTCTCTGGGCTTCGGTGGCAATAAAGACCAAGGATATTTTTAATCACGTTGGTGAGTGCTTTTCTTAGAAATGGATGCCTTCCTGCCTCAGGTGCCAAGAGGGAGTCTGGATTAAAAATAAAGGATAAAAGGAAAGCAACCCTCACAGGAGGTTTAAACCAATCACTGGGTTCTTCCCTGCTGGGGAGAGTTTACTTTTCCAAGGTCAGTGTTCCTCTGTGGATTTAGTCTTTTCCTTTGTCTCCTGCTCTCATTTCTTTGAAGGAAGTTTTGTTATAAATTGTGGCTTGGCTTTCTATAACACTTCCCATGAGTCTCTCACACTAGCTGCAGAAGGGCCATTTACACTTCCTTCTTAGGACTGAAGTGCAGGAGAGGAAAGCTCACTTTTTCTGATGGTTCAGGGGCCTCTGCTTTTCCCTCTCCTGGGAATGTGATTCTCACTATTTTGTATGCCTAGCTTCTCCTGGTCTCAGATCTCAGCAAAAAATGTCATCCATCTCTTCAGAGGCCTTTCTGTCCCAACCAAGGCAAATTTTAAGCCTCCTCCTCAGTTATTTTTTTTTAATCACACCACATGATATTATACAAAATAAAATCTCATGTTTTATTTTATTTTTTCTCCATAGCGCTTGTGACTCAAGCATATGGTTGATTTGTTTAAGAATATAAGATCCAAACAAAGTCCCACTGTATAGCTCAGGAAACTATATGTAATATCTTATAATAAACTATAATGGAAAAGAATAAAAAAAAAAGTAAGATCTAGGACATCCTTGTCTGCTTTCCTCAGTGCTATATCCATAGTGCCTGGCATTAAATGCTTGGTATACAGGAGATAATAAAAAAATACGTATTGAATGAATAGTTAATTAGTTATAAAAGAGGAATGAGCAATGGGATGCCATCAGCACTGGAGTAAAGGAGTTGACGCCTTTCAAAACCAAGGAAGCAAACTAATGAAGAGAGGTTCACAGATATGTTCAAGGCTACTACCGGCCCAGAAAGTCACTGATTTTCTTATGCTTACCCGGATGAAATCTTTGCAATTGGCCATCCTGCCTGGTGGCATCTTCCTCAGAACAGAACACAAGTTGATGGCAATAAGCATCTTCTATAGAGCATACAGAGCAAATGGAAATACATACCACATGATCACTGCTACCAATCTCATGATGGCTTCGTTGAGAGAATCAAAGAACTCTCGCAGGGCCTGGCCCTGCTCCTTCATGTTTCCAATCACAAATCCGAAGCACATGGAGAAGACAACTAGTCCCAGGGCATTGACCCCATTCACAGACCCTGGGACTGGGACCAACTCTTCTGTGATCCTCGTCAGAGTCTCCATGGCCTCTGACACATTGTTTATCACGGCGCCCACGAGTGTTTCATTGGGCTGGATGGGCACTTTAAAGCTCCTCTTCTCATAGTTGGTTTTAAACTTAAAAAGAAAAGACACAACAGTGATGAAAGATGATTTTTCTTTTCTTCTTTGTACTTTCTGCTTGCATTTTCTGTAATGATATGCATTACCCTGAATTCAGAGAACTGTGTTATAGAAAGTATCTGTCTATCTATATCTATCATCTATCTAATCTGTGACAAACCTCTACTACTTCCTCAGTACAGACAGACAGATAGACACACACACACACACTTAAATATACAGCAAATCATAACAGGAAAGAGATTGAAGATGTTGGAGTAAACATATGCATGTTTCTGAAACCCTAATAAAATGACTGTGATAGGTGTTTTAAAAATTAAAAGATATTCACAATGATCCTTGTATCCTCTACGGGTTCATGTTATGGGATCACTGGCAAATCACCTAACCTCCCTTTGGTCAGATCCATAGCAAAACAGGGGTCACTGGGCTGGCTCTACCTCACAGGTTGTTGTAATGATCAAATTAAACAGAATATATGAGATCATCTGGTAAATTAAAACAGATTTTAATGTTGGCTAATGGTATTCACATATAAAGCTCTTCTGGGACTAGACTTAGTTGGAGATTTTGGTGAGAATTAAAAATTTTAATCTCCCCAAACAACATTCCTCCAGGTATTCCTGATTGTATCAGTTCTTAAGAAGAGGTGCTTGATTGGTGAGGATGACAACCCACTTCTCAAGTCTATAGAGGAGTTTCTCCTCTTACTCAGGAAATGATTGTGAAGCTTCCCTGGTTGCCCAGTGATTAGAAATCCACCTGCCAACGCAGGGAACATAGGTTCAATCTCTGGTCCAGGAGGATCTCACATGCTGTGGGGCAACTAAGCCAGTGTGCCACAACTACTGAGCCTGCGTGTTGCAACCAGAAAGTAGTTCCTGCTCGCTGCAACTAGAGAAAGCTTGTGAGCAGCAGTGAAGATCCAGGAAGCCATAAATAAATAAATAAATCTTAAAAGAAAAAAGGGAGATAGTCTTTATACCAAAATTTCTGCATAGATGCCCCAGACAGAAGATGCTGAGTGTATTACTGTGGCCATTTGAAACAAGCCCATGTCTTTATGATTTTAATAAGAACAGAATTTCTGGCCTTCATGTTGATGGTACTGAAGCACCAAAGAAAGCATCTATGGATACTTTCAGCATCTATGGATGCTGACTGGATCTAGAGTCTAGGGGAAGAAAGCACAGCTGTACATCGAATGCTTGGCCATCACTTTACTAAGAGTATTGGTAAAGTATGGGAGACTTTTTTTGTCCAGTGGGAAACTATAATTTCCAAACAAGGACATGGCTAGCTGTCAATACTGCAGACATAGCCCTAAACAATCAGTGGCAATGCTGTGTAATTTTAACAAAGAAACTGGCCCCCTTCTGTCTCCTATTTCAGTCAAACCTCTGTTCAACTGGGGTGCTTATGCATTTTAGTGCACCCCAATTTTAGACTGTCCAGGGTGAATTTTCAATCCAACTAGCTTTTCCTACACCTCCAACTCTTTCCCCTAAGACACAGTTTGCAGCCTACACAGAAATTGCAACCTCACTTGCATTCTGATTTAAGACAAACAGATTTGGGATGATACATTTGCTTCTCCTTCAAAATCGTGTAAGTGTTATCCAAAACCAAATATTGAATACAATAAATCTGTGTGAGTCAGCACTTTTCCCAGTGCTGCTAGAAATCAACGTTTTTTAATTCGTCCATTGCCAGCTGACTAACTGGAAGAATCAGCCCCATGGTGCTGGGGTTGGCTGGATGGATTGAAAGGGGATTATTATTTATGGTTACAGTTGTTTTGAATAAAAAGAGTTAGATTTTGCCTTGTCAGCCCTTTTTTTTTTAAAAGAAAGAATTCTGTTTGAATTTTGCAGTTAGTGCAAACTTGACTATTAAAAATGGTCAATACAAATTTTAAAAAGGGAAAAAAGTGAAGAATGGGAAACTTGGTCTTCCATGAGGTCAGGGTTTGGTTTTGTTTATTTTACAGATCCCAAGCACAAGGGTTAGGGTAAAGTGACACCATCTGGGGAAATGTTTGGGAACTACTATTTAACAACTATAATGTCTAATTGTTTCCCTCTTAATATTTTGGGTAACAAAGCTTTTTTTTTTTTTAATTCAATTGAGGTTAGAATGAGCTTTACTCATTTTATCCCCTAATAGTAAAACGTATTTGTGTGTTCAACACAGAGAGCCAAGGGTTGTTTGGATTTGGTGCTAAAAGGAACTGGAGCTCACTACGGCCTCCTGGGAAGTGTCGCATCAGCCTGGATACCACTTTCCAGGAAAGGGAACAGAATGTAGAAGCAGGAAGATGACAGAATTTGGAATCAGTACGATAGGTTTGAATTCTGGGTCTGGCATTTACTACTTGTGAAATCGTATGCCTGTTACATGACCCCTCTGAATGATCATAGAAGAGTTGCCTCAATGATGAAATGAAGACAATGATACCCAACATATTTATGTGAGGAGCAAATATAACATTAGTGCTTGGCACTGAGCAGACGTTTAATACATGATGGCGGCAATCCTTTCTGACATGGTTCTTCCTTTAGAATCCATAAGGCCCTTAACAGACTTTTAAAAAACACAACCCACTGACTTTTAAAATCAAACCCAGCAACTTGAATAACCTCCCTAATCTTTGAAGCAAGTTGTAAATATATCTTATACTAGAGTTTGTGTGCTTGGTGAGCTTTTGTGTATGGGACATGGAGGAAGGGAGAAAGTCTCCTGATTAGCCTTCTTAACAATTAACAGAGACTTAATGAGCCATTTGTATGCAAGACATATAGTGTCTGGAAACTAATAAGCCTTCAATACAAGGGAAGACTCCTCCCTCCTCTCCCTACAAGGGAAGACCCCTCCCTCCCCTCCCAATTCCCCAGAAAACTCTAGTGCTTTCCATCTAGTTGGCAAAGGAAGTGTTTCTTATTGCAGGGAAACAGGAAAAAAAAGTAAATTCAATTAAAAAGACAGCCACACTCTGTTTGCCAAAGAGGAATTTCAAAGGGGAATTCATGGCTGTAGAGTTTTTACCTGTTTAAAGCAAGCTTCTACCAGATTTGGAGGGAACATATTCCTGCAAAGAAAATAATGATCACTTGAAATTTTTCCAAATAATAAATTAGTTCCTTAAATACCTTTTCATTGTGTGTAAGGTAAAGATTGCATCCAACTAAGCAGCAAATGGAAAAAGAGAAAGATTTTGGTAGATAGTTTTGAAATGGGACATAGGTCATCCCTAAGTGTGGTCCATGTAGTTCATATTTTTCAGTTTAAGACCCAAATTCAACTCATCCGTCCTTTTGTCAGACAAATGAATTTTTAAAATTCAGACATCAAACCTTGCTGCCAGGAAGAACCCAAGTGAAAATGGAAATGCCTTTTAGCATAAACATTCTGGTTGACTGGGGGGTCAATAGGGGTCATTCAATAGGGGTCATTTCAGTATCACGCTGGGTGTTTAGGGACCAAACGTTCTGAATCAAATGTCATGGTCAGAATGTGGAATTTTCTTCTCCACAAAGTCCTCCCAAAGAACACTGGGGGATGAGATAACGACTCTGAATGGTTAGAGCTTCTAGCCCTTTGGTAACCAACAGGGAGATGGCCCACAGAACTTGAAGCTGGGGCCCAGGTGGCAGGATTTGTCATTTCCTCAGACCAGTGTCTGTGCTTGTAATGGGGAAGGAATAAGAGTCAGCATTCTCACTGGGGAATTTCTAACCAGCTGTGTGACCTTGGGTGACTCGTGGCATCCATGCAGGTCCCAGTCTACTCATCTGTTAGAGAGGAGATGGGTTTAACTATCACCAGGGCTCCAAGATGGAAGCCTGTGGAGGAGACAGGACGTGGGCAGCTGGTTAGAGCCTGAGATTCCAGCAACTGTAAGTCATCGATCATATGTTAAGGCTAGAAACTCTTGTCTCTTCTTACTGCCTAGACCATTCTGTTTCTTTGTTCTTCCCATCTATGCTCTCTGGGTCTGTTTCTATGAACCCTGAGATAAATGTTTAGGAGATTCCAAGATAAATGCTCAAACCAGGTGTGTGGGGGAGGACAGGTGAGCCTTATACTTGTCACCGGGGCAAGGAGGGGCAGAAAAGCACCAGAGAATGACAAGATCCCAACTCTTTAAACAAGGAGTAGAAATTATACAGAAAGAGAATATAATAAAATACCCCCAATCCAAACTACCCGGAGGTAAAATCCCTGAAAAAAAAATGGTGAAAAGCTTTAATTAACTGTAGTAACTAAATAAAATCATTGTCATCAGGTGCCAACTTGGTATGAACTAAAACAGAATGGCTTATTACCTTCAGATAATTGCCATTAACTCCCTGGAAAAGGCTTTCAAGAGGGGGTTGTATAGTGCTTACACACAGATGCTACAAAGTCACTCGTGGTAGGTATTGAGAGGTGCTGCTAAAGAGGTCCTTTGTTGCCCAACTCACTCTTGAACCTACTGGACCCATTCCCTGAGATGGCATGGGAGACTGAGTTGCTAGGAGGAGCTGCTTTCAAATGGTCAGTGGGGGAATCCTAGAGTAGACATCTAGGACTGGCAAGCCAGTCACTCTGCAAGTAGGTCCATTGGGAGGTAAGGAGGAAAGAGCTAGGTTTGGGACGACAGCCTGGATGGGCTGCTGGCTGGACTGCTGAGCAGGTGGGACAACTCGAGGTCTGTGCTAGGGTATCTTCCATTTGCCCTTCTCCATCTACCCTCCATCCTGCTCTGTGCCTGCGAGGCTGCCCCTTTGCCTTCTGGCTTCCTGTTGGCTTTGTCCAGTGGGAGGTGCTGACAGATTACAGAGAGCAGTGGGAGAGAGACGTGGATGTATAGGTTCTTCCAGCTCTCTCTCTTGGCAGGTTGGGCAATAGCTCCCTTTCTCCAAATTAGAACTCCAGCCCCTGTCCTTGGCGGCCTATCCCAAGGATACAGCTCATCCTGAGTTCTAGGAATAGCTCCCTTCCTGACTTCAAAGCAACAGATGGTAACAAAACAATTTCCTATTGCTGATAGTCCCCGAATGTCTCACCATCACTTGTAGGTTCCCTTAACCCTGCCCACACCTTTGCACGTCCTGTTCAGTGATCCTTTTGAGCCTGCAACATGCTTCCCCCCAGGACCTGACCTATGCAAAAGCAAATGTGGATAGAAAGCAGGCAGGGAGGTGCCAGGATCAAATTTGGGCTTACTTCTCAGTTCTGTGTAAAACAGACTATGTCATTGGGTCTGTTTCAAGTAATAGATAAAACTAATTTGTAATCACTGTATGGTTTGTATATAAAAACAATGCTAAAGAAGTCATCCTTCAATCTTTTATTATTGATTTGCCAAATCCTTTCTGCATAGATAGTACAAAAGGAAAATCTTAGGACAGGTGAGATCAGATGACCTCTAAGGTCCCTTCTGGAAATAAATTGTTGTGTATAATAGATGGTGATACAGATCACAAGTTCCAAATTAGAAGAGTCCAATGAACAGGCTATACTTGGGGGAAAAAAATAGCCTTAAAGAGTAAGACTTGAGAAAAGTAGGTCAAGAATTATTGAAAGGCATTATGCTAAGTGATATAAGTCAGAAAGAGATAAATACTATATGATTATCACTTATATACACGGAATCTAAGAAGTACAGCAAACTAGTGAGTATAACAAAAAAAGCAGACTCACAGAGACAGAGAACTAGTGGTTATCAGTGGGGAGAGGGAAGGGGGAAAGGGCAATATAAGGGTAGACGAGTAAGCAGTACAAACTACTAGGTATAAATCAAGCTACAAGGATACAGCACAGAGAATAAAGCCAATATTTTATAAGTGGAGTATAACCCATAAAAAAATTTGAATTTCTATGTTGTATATCTGTAACTTATGTAATTGCATAGCAATATACTTCAATAAAAAATCATACACACAAAAGAACTATTGATATTAATATTCCAAGATGAGCTGCACAGTTAAGTGGACTGAGTGCTCAGATTCTGAATCCTAAAAGCAGGGCTCCTAAATCTTTATCTTTTCCTTGCTCTTTTTATCTCTTTCACATGAGATCAGAAAATGGATCCTTACTTCCATTTCTGTTAGATGTGATCTTCATTTCAAGCCCAGCAGGACTGGTTCAGTTGGATACCTCTTCTAGGGTTTGATCAGCTCCCCCCAAAAGAGGAGAGGTGGTCAAAATATACCCAAAAGGATGGGCTTGCAAGGACGTACCTGATCAAGTCCAGGAAGGCGTCTGCAGCTGTCACTTGTACAATTTTGCCTTCTCTGTGCATGTTTTCCTTTGTGCCCTTCCCAGGATGGATGATGATAACAATGATTATGCCAATCACCACGGCAATGATGGTCGTAGTCATGTAATAGACTACAGCTCGCATCCCCATCTTTCCTGATGCCTTACTATCTAGGGCCGCCATTCCTAGGGAAGGCAAACAGAAGGAGATTTTCAGGAAATCAGTTCATGGAATTGTCCAGTGGAAGGTAATGGGAAGAGCATTTCCTTTTTTACTCCCCAACCCTCTCCCACCCGGCAATGGGATTTTATACATGTTATGAGAACTTGGCACCAAATTAAATCAGGGCATCACAAAAGGTGAAGGGAAAAAGCCATAGAATGGCTAGGCACCAGCTGTGTCAGCTAACACGTGGTCACCCATTTTCTGCCCCAAGAGTTGATTTCACATGACTCTCTGATGGTTTGAAGGGGCAATCAAATTCTTTCCTAGGTTGCTAATAGTTGGGGAAGCTGTGAGTGTGAATTAGTGAGTATTGTGTGTGTGTGTGTGTGTGTGTGTGTGTGTATGAAGAGACACCTTAAAAAAGATTTCTGGCAGGATAATCTAAGCATATCTCAAGTTTTGAGCACTCTGCAGACTCACACAGAGTAACTACCATTAAATTCTTTTATAAGAATGATTATTTTATGTATGCACTTGTAAGATTTTTTGGATTTTTAACATAAAATTTAAGCTATTATTCTAATCACTTACTGAGTTATCCTCAATTTACATTTATAGTAGGCCAAAGTTCTCAAATATCTTCTCTGTTGTTTCATTTTATCTCATCGGCAGTTTTTAAGAACAGTAATTTTGGTGGGGTTCTTCTCATTTTTGCTCTCTGCCTTCCTCCACCTTGTCCCACAGGCCTGGCGTACCTTATCTCACATGAAAACATTCTTCCCCTCTTTTTCAGGACATCTTCAAAGTCTACCTCAGGCAAGGCATGGTGAGAGAGGAGGCATGATGGTGAATGTTTCCCTAACTGTTCTAGCGAATGGAGCACATCTCTGTGCCTCTTGGGATGGAAAAAATTGGAAAAATTGGAAATAATCCAAAACTCTCAAAAGATTAAATTTTCTTAATCATAATATGGGCTCTTCTGTTTCATTAACCATTTCCTCATTTCTCTTTTTTCTTTCTCCTTCCCAAACTCCCTAAAACATTAAGATCCAATTATAGCATCATCCAATCATAATTAATCAAACTATTTAATTTATTAGGCAAAATCATAATTTTATAAATATATTAAAAGTTTACTGTATTACTGTATATTAAAAGTTAGTGTAGCTCAGTGATCAGTATCAGACTCTAACAGTTGTTCAATATGCAGGTAGTGATTCTGTTTATATCAATGTATTTAGAGTAAGGTAAAGTATATTGGAAAAAGATAATGTCCATGAATGCCAGAAAACTGACTGGGTTTGCCCCCAAACCTTGATACAATGGTAGTGAGCTTATATGGGAATTGAAGCCAAGATCTCCAATTTATAATTTCATGTGTATTTGAATCAAATCATTCATAATTTTCATAATAATTACTTAGTACTTGCTATGTTCTTATTTTTAACAACAATCTATAAGGCAGATTAAAAAGCAATTAAGTAACTTTCTCAGTTCTTAGTTAGTACCAAGTAAAATGAAGTGGGGACTTGAACCCAGATCTTATGTAACTGAATTTAGTGTACTTTCTGCCCCTGAGAAAACCAGCTACAGCTCCCACAAACGAGTAGGCCAATTCTGGTTTTAAGGCACTGAAGTTAGCTTCTTTTATCCTTGCCCTAGGTTTCTTGAAACCTAGGGTAAATACCCACTTGTGGGGGTGGCGCCACTTCAACACTTTACCATCATTAGAAATGGGCTAATCTGTTCTCAGTCCACGTGGTCCCATCCCCCCAGGTTCCTCCGCAGGTCTCCTATGGCGTCTCAAAATATCTTGACTTTCCTGTGCTTGAAATCATTTCTCCCAGAAGGGGCCCACTCTCTTTCCCATCATTGCCTGAGCTCGTCACCACTGAAGCCTGCAATTCTTCGGCGGGCGAGTGGTGTGGGCACAAAAGGCCGGATATCTCTGCTAGGGGTACCAGGCGGCAGTATTCTCTTCCTCCGAGATGCTTTCTTTCCCTCTCGCCTTCTATTCTGTGGTGCTGTTCCGTTCTCACGCCAACTCTTCTCTGCCGCTCCTGCCCACTACTCCCGACCTATAGCTATTCAGAGAGAGCGCTAAGTGGTCAAGACACAGCACTGGAAACCAACGTGGCAGACCAAGGGGAGGCTTAACTCTCCCTCCCTCCCACCGCGGGGGAGGGCTGGGGAGTGTGACTCCGGAATTCACAGCTACAGGGCCATCGCTCTAGGAAACGAAGTTTATAGGTGTTTTTTTCCCCTTCTTTTTTTAAATAAAGTTAATAAAAAAAGGAAACCAATGAGTATTTACTCCATACTTTCCAATTGTGAAATAGATGAAGACAAACACTGAAGCATTTATTTTAGCAATGAGCCCAGAAGGAGAATCGATGGTCAAATGAGAGGCCTCACCAACCTCTGCATATTGACCCTGATCCTGTGAAAGAGAATAAAGCAGCAACTGCTAACGTTTTAGAAAAGGCAGGGGTGTGTGCGGGTATCTTTATTAACCAAATCTCCGTGGAGGTCCTTCTTCTGAAAGGGTCTGGTGTCTGCTCTGGGTACCCCCGTGCCCCCTCCCCTCCTTCCAACTCTAACCTCTCCCCTTTTCTCTGAGTAGGGTCTGTCCAACTAAAGGGACTGCTGGAAGCAAAGCCACACACCGTCATCAGGGCAAAGGTAGGATGGATGTGGACAATCTGTCACACTGGGTCTGCAAGAGAACAGTCTCGATGCCGAAGGAGCAAAGGAAATGGAGGAAAAGCTCTGGAAGGCAAAACTCCACACGAGCAGGCTGTCATTCTTCCTGTCTCTCGCCCCAACTTTGGGGCCATCTCCTTTCTCCAGCCTCCAGAAATTCCAGACAAAGCGCTGCACACAAACGTCAGAGTGTCTGGGCACAAGGGAAAAGCACTAAATCACTTGGTAGAAAAGAGAACTCTGGCAGGAAGTGCTCTAAATGTTTGAGAAGGGGGAAGTCTGCACTGAGCCTCGTCATTTGAAAATATATGGAGGAAAAGGGCCCCGGGGTGAGGGCGAACGAGGTCACTTGGGTATGCAGGTAGTCGTGGGAGTATGTTATGACAACTATGTGTTCATCTAAATACGTATGTGAGAAACACATTCCAGGGCAAGTAGTAAAGATATGATCTTAACTGGTCCGTTTTTCTTCATCTGATCTGGGCTTAGCTGAACTAATCCCATTCAAGACATCCTGACATCTTTATTACGAAAACAATCTGTCATTGGAATTGAGATCCTCTTGAACCCAAAGAAATACTACACTGCCTATTAATTACAGTTCTGCCGTAGTTGCTCCAATTACAATGACATGGTTGTTAAGTTTACACGTTTTGTATATTTTGAGTTAACGTTTGTGCTGATCCACTAAATCACTCACCAAAGTCTTCCTCTCACCAGTGGCACATACTCATCTAATTTCATGACAACTGTATGCTCAGATATTGTTGATACCATTTTAAAGGTAAAGGGACAAGAGACCAGAGAAGTTAAGTGACTTGCCCCGTGTTGCATAGCTAGTAAACAGTAACGGCAGGATTTGAACCCACACTCTACGGGAGTATCCTTTCTACTATACCTCAGTCCTTATGGACAAGCTAGGAGTCACCCACATTTCATGCGCTTTTATCCATACAAGCTTTCTCTAACTTTATTGCATTTGAATTCAATGTTGAAATGAGCCATTTGGCTAGAAGAAAATTGCATACAGGGAGGTAACTGTGGAAAAACTCTGACATTCCCCCACCTTGGGGGGAAGTGGACCAACTGGTCACCAGAAGGACTAGCTAGAGAACAGATCAATCCATTCAAATTCCTCATCATTCCTAGAAAAAGAGCCCAGAACATGTTCTAATGGAGCATAGAGGGTCATGGATATTTGCCAACTGTGGGCACACAGATCTTGCCTTCTTTTCTAAAAATAAACCCATCAAATACCAGTCATCAACAAAGTAATCAAGTCAACTATACTCCAATAGAAATTAATTTTTAAAAAGTAATTAATCATTCATGTCTGCAAACCTATTATATGTTTACCAATGAGTTAAGCATCTAAAAAAGACTGAACAAGACATTCTCCAGAATGCAAAAGATTTAGACTTTGCTTCAAACACCTGAATATTTTAGGCAGCAGTCACTCTGAAGAGAGAGGAAGAGAGTTTCTTAATGCAAATGGGTCAGTAAGCATTTACCTCTTTATTTATGAAGATAGTGTTTAAGTAATCAGTTTAGCACAACAGAAAATGCATCAAATTCATGTTTTGGGGGCAAGATGGGGATGGGGAGAGAGTGTTCAATAAATATGTATATGGAACTCTGTAAGTCTATTGTAAATTAGATTTCTTCTGGTACACGAATTATCGGATAAATGAAATATGTATTCAGTCAAGTATTAAAGGGTAACATATAAATAATGTCAAGTCCCTATGGCTCTACTTTTTGCATGGATTTTATTCTCCCATCTGCTAAAAGTCTGTCTTATACATTAATGGGTCTCAGTATATTCCTTCACTGATTCCTGTTTCTGGCTTTGAAAGGTGAAATCTAAAGAAGAAGCCTCTGCTATGAATGCTCTTTCTACTCACCCTCATGGTGTTTCATTGTTCTTTCAGGGCCACTGGATCAGGCCCAGAAAGAATGGAAAAGGGAGGGGGTGGCAACTGCTGACTCAAGAATATTGCTCTGTTTTAGTTTATTTTTATTTATTTATTTTTTATTTTATTTTAGATATACTCCTTCTCTACCGTGGGTTTCTCAGACGCTCATCTAATGAAAGCCGCCTGTTCCCAAGCCCCCTAGAATTTTAAGACGGGCAAACCTATAACAAGGAAATCAAGGATGAGTGTATACTGTATTCATATGAATAAAAGGTAATTTTTTTTCAATAAGAAAGTTAGACTCTTAAAATATACACTGTACTTCATATTTACAGGCTGAAAAAGGAGCTCTTCTGTCCTAAAGCATCTGCCCATCACTGGAGCAAGGGCACCCTGGACCC